GTCGGCGCCTACGGCCGCCAGTTTGTTCTTGAACTCGTCAAAGGAACCGCATTCTAATCGTTGGGCGATGACGAATTCGGCGAGTGTTTTTTCGCTGATTCCTAGATGGTTCTGCAACTCTGACGTTACTTTCGAGACGAGCGAGAGCAGCTCTAGCGACTCCAGGTCATCCATGGCTGCGATTTGTGTAGAGCGTCGTGGAAATGGCGATGTTTAAGTTGGTGATGGAGAACAACCACAAGGCTATCGTCCCTTTGCCTCCAAAAAGTTTCCAGATCCAACCATGAGCCGACAGCGAGCACCACCGCCAGTGTTTGTCAGCTGGCAGTCCCGCTACCGAAGTTTAGCCGCGCTGGGACTGCCGGTAGCTCTGATTCGCCGCCTAGATGCGGGTGACTGACGCAGGGACCAGCTGTGGATTACGCAAGCTCCTCCGCCACAGCGAGTTTGCCTTACAGTGTGATCAGTTGCATCACTGCGGGTCACTCCACGTTCTCCTGCTCCAAAGTCCAAACCTCAAGTACCGAACTCTTCACGTCTCTCCTACAATCCGCTCTCTGCTCTACAACGTTCTAAATCATACCTGAATGCCCGTGGTCGTTATGTGTTCCGCAGACATCTTTCTCGGCCTCCTGGCCATCCTATTCCCCCCTCTACCAGGTATGAGAACCCTTATGACTGGCCCCCCGCATTCCGTCGTCATCCGAAGCAGGTAAACTAACATCACGATCGAACAGTATGGGTTAAACGCGGTATCTGCTCAGCAGACAGCCTCATCAACATCCTGCTCTGCTGTCTGGGATACGTACGTCTCCCCTAACTACCCCCGTCTGTCTCCATGGACCATCACACTTACACACCACTTAGATTCCCGGCACGATCCACGCCTGGTACATAATCGCCAAGTACCCCGAGCCAGGCTACGACTACGAGCCCCTCGAGCAAGACGCCGAAGGCCGCGTCTACGTGATCGTCCGCGAGGGCGGCCGACCACACCACACCGCGCAAGGCCAACAGCAGCAACCCAAGCCGAACAAGAAGCCGGGACAGCCGAACGCAAACATGAGCTACGGCACCACCGGCGCGCCCTCGGCCGCCTCCGCAGGACAACCGCAGCAGGACGGCGGCGAGGGGAGCAGCGAGGGCCACCCGCCGCCGCCGAGCTACGCGCAGGTCGTCGCTGGCGATCACAAGGTGCAGACGCAGGAGTAGGAATCCGCTTGTGGGTGCCAGTGCGAGGCTTGCTTGAAGAGGCGGAAGCGGCGGGCTTCGTCGTGGATTCCGTGGATGGGTGGCGCACCGTGGTGAATGATGCGTTTGGTTGGCGTGGTGACCTGGTCTGGTGACTGGAATGGAATGTGTTTGACGCGTAATGTCCGGGGCGTATTTTGGGCGTTGGGAGGGAACTGCCTTAGTTACATGCGTGATGGTTACCTTGAATTTCATTTTTACACCTCTCTGTTTGAATTATATTTGCCCGCGCCTGCTTGTAGCTCGACACAAGGGCGACCTGTACTAGGTCTGTGGTGCGAGCAGTGATTTGTTGTTTTGCAGCCCGCAGAGGACATCGTTCGCATGAAGACAAATATTAGACAATGATACAGCCATGTTGACAAACGTTGATAGACTCAAATGCTCCAATTTCACCCGCGAGTGTGTCACAACATCAACAGTTTCTAATAAGGTTGCCCTCGATTTTCTATTGAGCCCTTAATCCGAGACGTGCGTCAACTCTTCCCTGACCCAAGCTTTCTGAATCCTAAACTCAGCTTGCATGGCCAGAACGGAATTGCTTCCCCGATTCCATGGGCTGACGTATCTCAAGTCCTCCGTCCTATCGACCAACCAGAGTACACGTCCCCAAAAGATATCCCAACGCCTCCCCCTACTCATCCAGATTGCCCTCCTGTCCACCCTCGGTGCCAACATCCGGGTTCTCGACGCTAGGGGCAGGCCTCTCGTTGGGGACAGGCTCCTTGTATGTGATCATGAGCTCCTGCGCCAGGAAGGTGTAGTAGCGGGGACGAACATCACCATAGGCCTTGATGAACTTCCAGCCGGTGTTGCACATGCAGAGAGTCAACTTTAGCTTCATACCAACCGTCATGTGCTCTAGAACGCTCCAATCCAGGATGAAGTCCTCCTTCTCACCGATACCTGGAGCAGGACCGCGTACGGAGCCCTTGTCAAAGCCGTCCTCCATCTGGATTGGCTTAAGAGTAAGTTTGCCGCAGGGCTTGATCGTCCCGACCTCTCCCTCTGGATTCCTCATGCCGAGATACGTCTTGATAACTTTCTCATCCGGCTCAGAGATGTCGACAACTTCAAAAGCCTGCTTCACCTCGTCCACGACTTCCATGTTCTGGACCGAGCTGCCTTTAAGCTGCTCGAATAAAAAGGTATGAGCACCGAGACTGGCGTAGAATATACGCTGGGCGTGCTCAACCGGCATGTTGTAATTCTCAGACATGTTCCTATCCGGGTCCAAGACCCTGCGCTTGCCGTGGTCGAACAGAGCCAAACAAGCGATGCTGAAGTCACCGGGAGCCTCCCAGATGACGCGGAAGCATCGAGTGATCTGGTCGACAGCATCCTGGCAGATGGCCTTGGCATCGTTGACGTTGTCGGCATATTCTGGACAGACATCGTGGTGCAAGATATAGTTCAGAAAGTTCTCGACCACATCCGTAGCAAGCTTGATCGCACCCAAGTCGGTGCCAGCGAGTTTGAAGATGCGTTCAGAGCTGGGCAATGTTAGTTTCAGCACAGCCTCCGGGATATAACCAAATAGGGAAAAGCCATAGCTTACAAGTAACCAGCAGCAACCCCGGCAAAGTCCACATCCCAGAGCTCGGGCTCACTAGCGTTGTAGTAGCGACGATTGGTGCTGCCTCTATGGATGACATCGCCGGCTGTCATGTCGCGGATCTCGCTCTTGGTCGCGCCAGCCACATCGAGAGTCTTCATGCCCTGGAACATGCGGGGGGTCGTGTCGATACCTCCCAGAGCAAGATACTTGTCAAAGAGATTGGCGCGGGGGCTGTCCATACGACGGCGGGCGCGGTATCGCTTGATACACTCCTCAATGCGGCTGTGTTCGTTAGCTTCTGTTGGAGTTCATATGCATGCGGTGTGATAGGCAGAAGACTCACTCGACAAAAGGTCGGTCGCTACCATATTAATTAGTCATCTGCTCACCAGTGTCAAGGACAGGAAGTCTTACGCTTTGTAGATCTCGTTCTTCTCTTCAGCAGCCTCCTCTGGGGTCATAGGAGGATCGCAGAAGTAGTCTGTCAGAGCAAATGGTCAGTTTCTTTTGGCAACAGAAGTCACTGTCGAACGCTTACCCTCGAAGCCGGTGCCACGGTTCCGGACCAGAGCGGTTGGGCCTCGCTTCATGAAGTTCGTCTTCTTCTTCTTCTTCTTCGGCTTATCAGTGTCGGCCTGGGAGTGACCATCGATGGCTGGTGTCTGCTGTTTAACCGCCATGGTGTGCTGATCCATGCTAGACTCATTGTCCTTTGCGTTGGACTCAGTCACTGTCTCGCTAATGCATGGCTTAGTCTCTCCACCATTGGCGAGAGGCTGTGCAGATGTGTTGTTCGTGGTCTCGCCCAGCACAGTGGGCACTTCCTCGACCCCAGTTGGGCCAAGGTTCTTGACAATTAAAGTCATGCTTGCGAAGTCGAAACCACTTGTAACTTGAAGATGAGCGGTGAGCTAACTACGCCCAATATGCGGTGAAAGGCAGGATCAACCTACGTGTTTCAATAAGCCTCTTTCAGTCTTCGGTCGGAAAGCGTCAAGAGTCAACGGGGTTGCCTATTTGCGAGTTAGAGGAGCGATAGCTTTAGGCAGAGGAGGTGCCACGCGGGAAGCTGCAAGAAAGCTGGGGTTCTCTAACCAATGGAGGTAGGAGGAGAGATGTAAGGATGGGGAAATAGAACTGGTGATGAGGCGGAGTACAGAAGAGGAAGAGGAAGAGGAAGAAGGTAGATTGCTTAAAGCTTCAAGAAACTGACCTATTTGGCCCTGTGGACTTAACTTCCAGGTTGTAAGGAAGGAGCAATCTAGATCAAGCAATACCTTTGCTATTCGTGAGCTCTAACCTTGGGAAGGCACCCAAGGCAACTGCGCTTTCCAGAACAAGCAACCTCAAGTCGGAGTTGTTTATTGTTTGCCAGCGGGATACCAACGTGCATTGTATCGTTGAAACAAACAGTGGGTGGAACGACTGAAGGTGAGTGGTCAGGTAGATGAGGCCTGGGGCCTAGCATCACAACCGCCGTACGGACCCTGTTCGTACCGCCACGTCATGCCAGCAACTCATGATAGAATAATAACTGGTAACTGTAGCTGTACAGTGGCTAGTCCGATGTATGTTTTGATGCCGAATGGAACCCGAGGCGAAGGAGCTCATGAGCACATTCCCACCAAGGTCACAAAACCTGGAGATGCTGGAAGGCATCCGGGTGCACGCGTATCGCCCTGCTGTCGATGCTGCATGTATCTTCCATGCCAAACGACATATGGCACGACAGCTTCATGATAAATCCCATTCGTAAGAACTCTAGACACATTGTCTCTTTGTGTGTGGTGTGAGTATATAAAACAAGCATGTCGGGCGCCGGCATACGACACCGCCAAATGTCTGTATCAGCAACCATCCACTAGGATCGTTGTGAGCCAGCAGAGCAGAGAAGGGGTGGTCATCCGGCCCGCAACCATGGTGCCGCCGAGACAGAGCAGGATGTATTGAAGTGGCAATGCCCTTGCTCCAGTACCGACGGTTCAGTTGGTTGAGACGCCAAAGCTATCTCATCTGCTCAAGGGCTCTTAGACTGACAGTGATACCGGACGTCAATGTCGACACAAAGGCCGAGGATGACCTGGATGTCTCTTTTGTAGGTACCTAGGTAGGGCGGAAAGGGCCATATCTCTACCTGCATTGAGATTCTGGGACTGTGTAAAGCGTCTTATCGTCCAAAATTTTGCTCGGAGCAGATATGGCCGAGTGGTTTAAGGCGATGGTTTTAAGTTATAAACACTTAATTCACCATTATCGAGAGATTCGTGGGTTCGAATCCCACTGTCTGCAATTTTGCCCCTCTACCATTCTAGATTGAAGACCACTAGGTATGTGGTTCGAATAGAAATAGGTATCTTGCTTTGAGAGAGTTGCAAAAGGCCATTGTGTAATCGTGTATGGAAATAGGAGAACGTTTCTCATCAATAGGTGCTGCTGCTGAGTCATTCCCTGTCGGCGTGCGACAGGACCATTTTGCCCTGTGGTTCATTGTTCTCTCTTGTCCATCAATGAACCAGACAACCGGCAAACACGGGAAGGCAGCACGAGAAAAGTGACTTTGAGTGAAAAAGAAATGTTGTCAAGGATGTTGGCGTTTTGCTGCGGCCATATTCAAGGCGATACAAGCTTCGGATGTGACAACGACTGGTCAAGGCATTTCGAAGCTCTGTGGCTGAGCTTTCCGAGTTTTCCCTCACTCAGTGCTCTGCAGCGTCCTGGTAACGCAAGACAGCTGGCGAGGTTGACTGTGCGCAGATTCCCCGCCACCCACTAACGCCGCCACTCTGAGGGATGGAGATGCAGGAATCCCACAGGTACATGTACTTACATACTAGCAGAACTCTTGAGAAGAGGTACTTCAATGCCCTGTCACCGCCCATCAAAGCCACTGACACGGCTTGTTCCCCGGCAAACAGCGTGACCACCTTGCATTGCTTCCTGTTGGATTTAGCGGACGGAGGAGCTGCTGATGTATCCTGAGTTCAATGTTGCACTCGCAGCACATACATTCAGGTACCACAGGTACCGCCTGTGCCCGCTAACCTTTATTGCCGCGCCTGCTTGAGGACTCGCTAAGCACCGCTTTGGCATATCCGCCTCCAACAAATCCCAACTGGTCATTCGTTTCACTTCGCCCTGGTCCAACCGTCCAACGCCATTCATCGGCTTCTCTGTTGTGACTGCCCAATGTGAACCAACTCATCACCACCTTTGTACTCGCCATACAAAACCGCACCTTTGCCCACGCTCTCCTCGCCCTCCCCCATATTTTAACTTCAAGTTTCCCCATCTGGCATCGATAAATTGATGTCTCTGCGAAGCTTTACCCTGGCATTGGGACCTGTCAACAACCTGCGCAACCTATGATCCGACATCGCCACATCTCCCTAACTCGGATCCTTCCCCCACGGATGCGCTCGAGGTCACATTACTTTCACCCGTCCCCCCTTAGCGCCAGAAACTTTCGAGAAAGACCCATCAGCAGAGATGGGCGGCACCAAGGAAATCCCGAAACGGGCGGACTTGGTAGACTACAACTATGCCGTTGCCGGACAGTAAGCTTACCTTTGGGAGGAGTCCAGGTGCCCGTCTTCGGAGATACTGACTACGGCGGCAGTGACGGCACATTATGCGATGCAGACGGCGAACTGTTTATAAAACCCTGCACGCAGCAGGAAATCAACTTCTACGAGTCGGCCTTGAATGGGCACCCTGAATTCTCAGAGCTCATGCCCTTGTTCTTCGGTCAGATGACGCTGAACGATATGACGGACATGGCATCAATCAACGAACAGCTACCCGCGGTCGCGGACCATATTAGCACACACATGAAGGAGGAAGTAATACGACTAGCGCATCAACTACAACCGGATCCAGCGAAGGATAATATCAAATGGGTTCCGAACAAAAGCAAGAAGATCGCTACAAACATATCACTCGTTCTCGAGAACGCTGCCTACGGGTACAAGCGGCCGAACATACTGGACGTGAAGCTAGGCCAGCGTCTCTGGGCCGACGACGCACCACTCGAGAAGAAGCAGCGGTTCGACAAGATCAGCCAGGAGACTACCCACGGTCCGCTGGGGTTTCGCATCGCCGGTATGCGGGTGTACCGAGGGTCAGAAAACCCGGAAGAGCTCGACGAGGAGGATTACCGGATCTACGACAAGGACTACGGTCGGTGCACCGTCAACAAGGACAACGTGCAGGATGCGTTCAGGAAGTTCATCTTCAACGAATCTGCAGGTGTCGACGAAGAGCTGGGCAAGGCGGTTGCGCGTGCCTTCATGGAAGAGGTCAAGCACGTGCAGGAAGTCTTGGAGAACGAGGAGAGCAGGATGTATTCTGCCAGCCTCCTGTTCGTGTTTGAGGGAGACGGCGACGCGCTCCGAGCTGCAATCGATGAGGCGAGCAGCAGCGTCACGATGTCCCAGAAAGGTCGAGGTGAGGCCAGTGGCCGGTCCACAGCCCGCGTTGATAGTGGCATCGCGATGGACGAGGCAACCGGCAACATGATCCTTCCAGAGGACGACGACGATGAAGACTCCGGCGACGACGAGAACGTACCGCGCATTTACTGCGTCAAGCTGATCGACTTTGCTCACGCGGAGTTTACGCCGGGACAGGGGCCTGACGAGAACAACCTCAAGGGAGTGAGGAGTCTGGTTCAGATTTTTGATGAGCTATCGCGCGAGGACGAGTGAGGAGACTACGTTTGCATGCCGAATCTGCCGCATTTTGACGGACAAAACATCTTTCGGCACTGAACTGAAGGGATACGGGGCGGGTTACGAAGCCACTTGCATCAAGCATTATCATGATGAGAAGACAAAAGAGGCGTTATCTGGGTTCAAAGGTCTATTTCAATACCCATCAGAGAGCTGTATATTAGAACAGGCACGGCGTTAGTTCGTAGCATTTCCTGCATCACTCACTTTGCTTCGATTACGACGGCATGAAAGATAAACCAATAAAGCGTTCAACACTGCACATAACTTGCTCTGTCACCTGTCCAGTTCACTTGTTTGGTATGAGCAGAGTCCCGCTATTCTCGAACTATTACGTGAGTACCTCTGAAATCACATTTTGTCCGTAGCTTAGACAGCATCACGTAGACGAGTCACTCGGCCGTTGCTTCCAAAACCAGAGCATCGATGTCCGAGCATTGGTGGGGCCTTCCGCTAGCAGCCTTGCATTAGCGTCGTCCTTTGGAAGCCCACAAGGCTGAGCCCACTCCTTGGATCAATCATCTTGACGACCTTCGTCTTCACGTGACATCTCCTTTGTACCACCTCACGACAACATCCATGAAATCCCAAAGGTGATACACATATCCAAGATCATCAAGATGTCCATCCCAGGCCTGGGCCAGATCCCAGTTCAGGTACTTACTCACACGCCTCCCCATGTGCCCCATCATAGCTAACCTCCCCCCCAGCAAGCCACCTCAACAACCCGCACAATAACCCTCAAGCCCCTCTGGGAATGGCGGTTCGAGGCCCCCTTCCCCTCCAGCACAGGCGGCGCCCACACAATGGCCACCTCCTCCCTCGCCCCAACCGCCAACCCCTCCGCAGCCGCGGCCCCAACCCAGCTCACCGTCAAGCTCACCTCGGGCACGGCCGAGCGCGACGGGACGGAGCTGGCCCTGGGGAAGAACTACGTCTTCGTCGGCGCCAAGTCCAAGATCTTCACCATGACGGGGTGCACGCTCGAGGTGTCCGGGCCGTGCGAGGACTACGTCGCCGAGACGGACGACGCCGACGACTGTCCGGCGGTGAGCTACCTGAACCTGCACTTCGCGCTGCAGAACCAGCGGGCAGGAGGAATAGGGCCGAGGGTGCTGGTCGCCGGCGCGCCGGCCAGCGGGAAGTCGACGCTGGCGCGGACGCTGCTGGCCCTGGCGACGAGGCAGAACGGCGGGCAGCAGCCTGTCGGCGTCGGGCTGGACCCGAAGGACGGGCTGTTGAGTCTACCCGGCACGGTTGCGGCGGCGGTGTTTGGTAGTCTGATGGACGTCGAGACGGGCGGCGCGGGCGTGGCGGATACTCCTAGTTCGGGGCCGGCGGCGGTGCCGGTCAAGGTGCCTGTTGTTTATTACTATGGCCGGCAGAGGGCGGAGGACGAGCCGGAGGCGTGGAAGACGGTTGTCAGGGGGCTGGCGGCTGCGGTCAGGGGACGGAGGGAGCAGGATGGGGAGGTTAGACGGGCGGGGGTTGTGGTTGATGCACCGGCTGTGGGGACGGGGAAGACGGGTGTTGAGCTGTTGGTTCATGCTGTTGAGGAGTTTGCTGGTATGTTTGATTGTGTGACATGTTTGAAGAAGCGTGCTAATGGATGGTTTAGTGAACGTTGTCGTGGTGCTAGGATCTGGCCGTCTCAACGCCGAGCTCCAGAAGCGCTTGGGGCAGATGAGGACGAGCATGGGAGAGGCCATCACAGTCGTACAGCTTGACAAGTCCGAGGGTGTGGTCGAGCGAGACGAGTCATTCATGCAGCAGATAAGAGAGGCTGCTATCAAGGAGTACTTCTTCGGCGATGCGAAGATGACGCTCAGTCCGGCCACGCAACAGGTTGATTTTAGCGCCGTGACGATCTTCAAGATCCCGGACTGTACGTTTCCTACCCTTGTTATCCGGGCCTCGACGAGTGTTTGCTGACAGTTGTACAGTATCTGAATACCTTGCCGATGAGGAAGTTCTAGAGAAGATGGAACCAGTCCCGGAGATGGCGCACTGGACTTTGGCCGTCATGAATGCCTCCGTGCGCGACTCGCTGGAGACCATACGGTACGCGAGCGTCATGGGTTTCGTCTATGTTGCCGACGTCGAGCCTGAGCGACGGCGGCTTAAGATCCTGGCGCCTGTCAGTGGTCGTCTTGGTGATCGGCCACTGGTATGGGGTCACTGGCCAGAACCGCATATCAACCTTCTGGGCTAGTTGGTTGGGTTATAGATCTGGAAATGACGGCCAGGAGTTCAAAACTGTTTGCTTTCTTGTATACAAGCATCGCGGGACGGAGTTCATACCCTGAGAGGGATTGCATGGCGTTTACAAGGTTTTCTTTATTCGTTACTCATAAGGAGCTCTTCAATCGGGACTATGGACCTGCAAGAAATCTTCCAAGGGTATACCTTTTCCACACACTCTCAACCAGGATCAATGTCAACCAGAATCCGACCCTTGTAAATGCAAATCAATGCGGAATATCAAAAGATATCTTCGAGACATTGCTGCGCCTGCTCTGCGCCAGCATCCCCTCCAACCAGCTCTGAACCGGGACTGTTGTC